TCTTCTTTTTTCTCTTTCCTCTCTTCAGCTTCCTTTTTTCTTTTTTCCTTCTTCTTCTTCTTCTTCTTCTTCTTCTTCTTCTTATTATTATTATTATTATTATTATTAATATTATTATTATTGCTTGTCGCTCATTTTGTTCTTCTATTTCTTGTCTTTTTTCTTTTTCCTTCTTCTCTTCTTTCCTTTCTTATTATTTCCTTGTTGTTCTTCTTCTTCTTTTTCTTTTTTTTTTCGCCTTCTTTTTCTCCTTTTTTTTCCTTTTCTTCTTCGATTTCTTCTTTTCCGTCTTTTCTTTTTTTTTCTCTTCCTCATTTTCTTATGGCTTACCTTTTGTTTTCTTTCTACTTTCTTCTTCTTTTTGTGTTGTTTTTTTTTTCTAACTCAGCTGGGATTTCACCTATCGCCATATAATCAGGGCTGAATTCCTTGCTGATCTCCTATCGGCATTGTACCGACAAGATTCTTCATTTTTTTTGTTGCAAGCTGTGATTTATAACCATTGTTTGAAACGGAGATTCATAGCCAGCCATCTTTTATATATGCCAGTGAGCCAAAAGATTATTACCTGATACATGTAGCAAGAATAACAACGACTGGCTCGTAACAGCTTTTACATGCCAGAGTCAGAGGTTTAGGAATTTGGCAATCATGTCTTTTGAAGCACTTAATAAATTTTGTCTTTTCGTAAACCTTGTTTTGTTATCCATTTAATGAAGCTCGCGTTGGTCAAAAGAAACCCTTGTGCTTTCAATCTGCCTTGTGAGTATCAAAATTTCCAAGCCTTTTCTCATTATATGCCGCAGAAATCTCAACTGTCTCTTCCCAATGTGGAGTATAAATGTCTTTTTTCGTTTCCACATTCTCTAAAACTTCGATGTTCTGTCCATGCTCATTATCCTTCTGTAGAACTGCATTTCCGTTGCTCACAAGTTTCTTCTTCATCTCTGAGATGTCGACATCAAGCAATTGACAGAAATGTTTTAACAGAGGTTTCAAAAGGCAACATCGAAATCCAACGACGCTTGGGATAGCGAAAGATGCCTTCTAAATGCTAATCAAAGTATTAAGAAACAGGAAATTTTCATTGGAAACAAAGAAAAAAGTACTGAATTGTTAGGCAGTATTGCTCATCCTATATGGCAATGTCTTTCTGACTGCTCTTTTCTTTGCCCTCATTACTAATGTTTCTGTTCTAAATTCCTCCACATCCTGTAACCCCTTGCGTGATAGTGACTGTACTGTCTAGCATGGGGTGATAACGATAAACAAAATGCTGGACAATCTCATCACTGATGAAGAAAAGCCTTGAGGCAGCAGACATGTGGTGCTACAGAAGGATGCTGAGAATAACATGGACTGAACACTTCACCAAAGGTGAATGCCGAAAAACAGAAAAGTAAACAAAATAAATAGGGCTGGACGGCCTATGTGGCAATGAACTCTGGACAATGTTCCCACAAGATAAAACTGGAAGCAAATGTGGCTCTACAGAAGGATACTGAGAATTTCTTGGACGGAGCGAGTAAACAACGAGGAAGTCTTTAAGGAAATATTAATAAAAAGAACATGAATGCTCAGATTCAGGGAGAGGAGACACCTGAAATTACTTGGGTACATAATGAGAAGGGGGCAGCGCTTGGAAAACTTAACCCTCACGAGGCATATAGTGTGCAAGGGAGTTAGGGGAATGCTGTGAGTCATCTATCTGATGAGCTTGTGCGAATGTATGGCAAAACGTCGGGGGGGGGATTTAGCAAAACGGGGAGTGCTTAGTAAAACGGGAAGGGCATTAGCAAAACAGGAGAGACTTTTCGAAAACGGAGGTGCTTTGCAAAACAAGGGGAGGAGCCTTAGAAAAACGAGGGAGTCTTAGCAAAGTGGCGGGGGCTTAGTAAAGGAAGAAAAACGGCTATGGGTCACAAGGGATAGGAAGTTGTGGAGGGCCATGAACGCCCATATACCTGAAGGGTTGCGGTACATAGAAGAAGAAAATCGAAAACTCTTGAAATTAAGAAATCTAGTGATCAAAGATTGATTGACTGATTTTTTTACGGCTTATCAACCCTTTACAGGTTATTTAAAGCTAGAAGATGTGTTTAGATTGTAAGAGTTTTCTGAGATAATAACGATGTACTGATAGAAATCTTACTAATTAACCCATTGCTGGAGAGGAGAAGGTGGATGCATAGACAAGTGAATGTAACAAACCCGACTGGAATTCGACCTCGGATCTCTAATTCCGAGCCGTTATCCATACGCACATACAAGCTTACAGAAGCTGGTATTCCCAAGTGATGACCCATCTAGGTATTGACTGGGTTCGACGTTGCTTAACTTCAGTGATCAGACGAGAACGGGTGTTTCAACGAGACATAGCCGTAAGCCCGAGTGATCAAGGAAGACATTGCATTTCCATTGTTGGGAGAGAAAGACATTATGAATTCAATATGGTAATGAAATCACAAGACATTATTTTCTCCGATGCAAAATAAACAGG